AAATGGGATAAAAAAAGACTCAAAAGACTGCGCCTACTAAAAGCAGAAACTGTACCAAAGAAAGTGTGGACGGACATCATGGACAAGGAAGAAACCAGTGCTTAAGGTTACATATTTTATGTGGTGCTGTTTTTTACACTAATAAATTAATCATTGTTTATTACCTTTACAAATGGTTCAAATTAAAACGAGCAATTAAAAGGTTCTGTGCTTGTAAAAAAAAAAAAAAAAAAAACCCATACTTGATTTATGTTTGTTTGCTAGCCCCTTCGAGGTAGAATCTTGTGCAGCGATACACTGCTCCCTGTGCTCCTGCCACACTTAGAACGCCCCCTGGAAGTCTCAGTCTGTAAGTGTGACAAAAACCAGCAATGGATTTCCATCACTGGGAGATTTTTATTTGAATTGTTTTGAGCAGGAAGAGGAAAAACTTGCAGGGAACCAAATCGGGCAAGAAGGGCAGGCAATGAGCAACGGTTGGGTTGGCAAAGAACTGGCACAATGGCATGTGCAGCAGTTTAGCTCATTTGTGTGGGGCCAGTTTGACACAGAATTTGATGCCCAAGTTTGAGGTCCATGGTGAAATCACAAATCTGTCTGCAAGAATGAGGCTGCCAGAGAGCACTCTACATGAAGCCGGAGCATGAGGAGCAGTGTGTGGCTGCACAAAGAGACTGTACCAAAGGGAACAGCAGGCGGGTACCACCACGGATTTTCTTGAACACACTTGGTATGGCCCTGTGTGCTAGTAGCTTAAGACAATACATTTAGATTTCAGCAAAAGCACAGATATCAGCCTGTGTGTGTAATGAAGTGAACAGAAAGTGTAGATTATAATGTATATGCGAGTGTGTGTGCAGGTGTGAGATTGAAGTCTGGCCTTCTGGTGGAATCATTTGACAATGGATACAATGGATAGATAAATTATTTCTGATCATGCACAACATGTTTGGGATCTTCCCGATGTTCCAAACTGATTTATGCGAGAGTGCGATTCCTGCACGAGTTGACTTTTGCGTCATCCTTTCAGCAAATAGAGAGAACGAGGGAGAGGGAGGGAGAGGGAGAGAGAGAGGGAGAGATATGAGGCCTGTCCTGAACCTTGTCCAAACTCTGCAGGCTGCCACGATGAAGGGTATATTTTTTATCAAGGTCTGCCAGCTAGGCTACTCTGACAGTCCTATCCTCTGCCAAAATACAAACACGGAGAGTGAGAGCGAAAGAGAGGGAGATGATAGAGAAAGTTGGAAAAAGAAAAAGAAAACGGAAGAATGGAAGAGAGTCTTTTTGCCACAACATACATTTTACACAACTTTTCAGATTCAGGGGAGCCAAATGATCCACGAAGCACATTTCTATTCAAACTGATTAATACCGAAACAAACTAAATACTGAATTAAGTGGGCTTTTCAAAGGGATGATATCTAATTTTACACTGCCGCTGTGAACACTGCATGGTCAAATTACTAACATTGTTGCAGGAAATTAATGCAGCAATACACTGTCGTGCTACATATTGTAGTCTATTAGCCAGGACAGGCTGTTCTATTGTTATTGATGCTCTTATTTAGGTAGACATAATTGAATTCCAAAATACAATATCATTCATTCATCATGTTGAGGGCTGACATTTCTATCAGGTTATTGATGCACATTCAACTGAATTTAGTAAAGTGTAAAATCGAATATAGTTGTAGTAAACGTGTAGTTGGCTAAATGTGATCATGATTTTTGAGCAGTAAATTACAGAAGCTGCCCAAAATGCAATCAGCTTCACTGCCTACACATGTAATCCGTATCCATTTGTGAAATAAATGTTCGGAGCTTAATCATACTAAGTCACATTTCAAGCACAGCTGACACTCTCTGACCGTCGCTGAATCAGTGATGAACCTCTCCTTTAAATCACTCACGCCAAGCAAGTGAGGAGAAGAAGAAAAAAGAAAACAGGCGGGTTTGTTGCACAAGGTTTCAGATTCCGACTTGTAAAATCTGAAGACCTTTGGAAGTCTTATACTGAAGGTGAAATATGGGCTGTTACATAGTTTTTCTCAACCCCCTGACAAATGCTACGTGGTTTGTGTTTCATCTTTGACTCAGAGGCTGTTTGACAAATTGAGCGGGACCCTTTTTTTTTTCTTCTTCTTCTGCTCTAGTGCAATGTCGATTAAAGGTCTGTGTTATTCTGTATCAATAGGCTCTTACAGCAGTGAATGCCATATTTGCAATGCTCTATTGATCCCCGAGGGGGAGGCGAGGGGAGTGGGGTGTTTGTCTTTCAGTCTGGCGCTGCTCACGGTGGTGAGGAAAATGGGGTTCTCTCCTCCGAAACGCCTCAAAAAGGGTTAAAGCTCATCTCAAAGATATGAAAAGCGAGGGAAGGCCCTCCAAGGACAAACTATCGATCCTCTCCTGGGTATACTGCCAACATTTCATACGGAGGTTCATAATTTCCTCTTAGTTGTATATCTCTTTCTTCCTCTCACCCCCTGTGTCTTTTGGCCTCGCTCTTCTTCTGCCTCCCTAAAATGTGACCAGAAGTGTGAATTATGTAATCCCAAATGTCATTCACCTCTGAAGTGTGAATTAGTGTTCTGGCTCAGGAAGAACTGATTACACATCTGTTCCTGTGTTGGCAGCACAATGGTGTTAGTTACTTAAATGGTTTCCAAAATTAGCTTCAGGGACCTTTAGGGTTCTCGCGGATGCTACAGCTGGTCCCCTGCAGAATTAATTATGCTGGGCGATATATCGAATATTCAATTAATACAATTATGAGGTAAGGGCTCCTTGTTCTATCAAACAATAATCATGTGCGCTGTGAGAAATAGCTCCCTGGAGTCTTTATAGTAATGTTAGTTGTTGGTGTTTCTTTGGAGACGCTTGTAGCTTTGCCAGTCACACTTACATGACCGCAGCAGCGGTGGATGACAACAAAACTTAACCCGAAAAAAAGCAGGTCTATGATTATAGTGATATGTAAAATGCAAAAATCAACAAGAAGCAGATCACCATGCTGTGTAAAGTTTTGAAAAACACTGTTCAAACTACAAGTGGCAGCACAGCAAACCTGTTCCAACACCGGAAACAAAGGCATGTAGCGTACTGGAAACAATGTGTGCCTCTCCAAGATTCGGATAGTAACTCCTGTCACATTATCCAGAAATTCATAAATGCAAAGCGACGACAAAAGACGCACCCAACAATTCTTCACAAGGGTCAGTTCATGTATAATATCATCTATGGCTGTGGTGGCTCTCTAAAGTCTGAGTCATCTGAGTGTTTAGCTGCCCCACCGACAACTTTCCTGTTCTGGTTCACTCTCGCCACGCTCAGCAGACTGACAGAGTTATTGATTAGCTGGTGAACACAGAGTAGAATTAATAGCTCAAGAGTCGGATATTTCCCTCAAGAGTTTTGATCTCAATGGTGCCTAATGATAAAAATAAAGGTTCTTTAACAAGCTGGTAGAGATAAAAAAAGCAGAGCCAAAACAGTTAAAATTAACAATTAACATTCACCAGGTGGTCAAAATGATAACGTTGCACCATAACTGCCTCGTGTACACAAACACGTTAAATATCAAGTTTGCTATAACTTAGAAATTGACGAGACAATGCTGTGTTCATAAGCTGTTGGATGGATGGATGGATGGACGGACGGACGGACGGACGGACGGACGGACGGACGGACGGACGGACGGACGCTGTGCATAGAGTCAGATGTTTTTGTTGAGCTGGTGTGCTCATGCTGCAGCCAGTAGGAAGGGGTGAGCGGAGAGAGAAGCAGAGACTTCATAGATCTGCACAGAGGAAGCACTGGTATAGAGTTACATCGAAGCCATTTCATAACAAGTAGAGATTATTTTCATGTAAAAAATATAGTAAATCTCAATACTGTATAGTCAATACTTACAGATCTGAGTTTTAGTGGTTAATCAATGACCGGATCGTCACTTTAAAAACTTGTCCCTTGTGAGTTTCCCAACTTTATGAAGGTTCAATACTAAGTTGTTTTTGTACACCTATAAAAGAATGTAATGTGTGGAAACAAGAAGCTTTGTGTGTCACCTGGTGAGCCCTGAGAAGTACCATGAGAGTGGGAGCCAATGGACAAAACTAAATTACCCCATATCAGGCATACATCTTTGAGTAAATAAACAACAATAATCACAAAAGCTAAAACTGACAAAAGATGGGGAACATGAATGCAAGGTGATGTTCTCTGCATGCATGCAGTTAAAGGTCCTGTTCCACATCAGCACCATGGACAGGGCACCAGTGCTGCAGGAGAGAAGCCCTGCACAGCACTGCACATACTCTGAGCAAACGTGGACTCCAGCTTGCATTTAAACTACAAGTTCAGATCTTCTGATGCTCCTTCATAATACATTATGCATACATATATCGAATCTACTGCAGACAAAAAAATCAGTAAAAAAAAAAAAAAAAAGTTAAAATCTTTACAAAATGTTATTTAATGTCATTAAATAGTGAAATTTAAGGCGATATTATGGGGGTTAGTGATCAATAATTCAAGTGGGATAAGGTCACTATACATTCAGCAGCGCCGCAGCCACATTAGAAGTCCCGTTCACAGGATTGCAGGAATGAATGCATCTGTATCTGATGCAGGCGTGAGTTCATCCTCCACGTACACAGCGCGTTTCTTCATGTCTTTATTTGTACACATCTGGACAGATCGGGTCGAGGGTTTTGGTTACAGTAACCACCGGGTCCCCTGTTCCCCTGCTGGTCCTTTAAGCCGAGCGGGGTGCAGATCGGACCTGCTGGGGGGAACAGTTTGGAGCAGGAGCGGAGAGGGGAAGTTGCACCGCCCCGGTTCAGGCAGCAGGGCAGATAAAAGCTCAGATAGTGATTGAAAGTGATGGTAAAAGGATTTAGCCTGGGCATTAACCGACAGAGGGAGAGAGAGAGAGAGAGAGAGAGAGAGAGGAAGGGAGGAGGAGGAGGAGGAGAAGGAGGGAGGGTGATATTTTCCATAAAGCCTTTTTTTTCTCTCTCTTTCTTTCTGCCCTTGAGCATCCCGGGTAAGCCCGAGCTTGTAAAGTGGGAAGAGGAGGAGGAGAGGGGGGCACGAAGGGCGGGCACAAGCCTTTCCTCAAACTCAATATTTTATACTTTTGATACTCCTTGACGCTGGATTTCAGTCCTCTTCCCGAGCCGTTTCCAGATCTAGGACGCGGATCTTACCGTGCGCAGCCATCCACGGTGAGATAAAAAAGTATCCGGCAGAAAAACAAACAGCGAGCCCGGGCAGGCTGAGAAACGGGAGTACAGAGAGGACCGCGGCGGGGAACGAGTACAGTGGACGGTCGGAGGGGGGGGGATCTTCTTCTTTTTTTTTTTTTTTGGGTTGTTTCATTTTTTTTTTCTGGCCAAAGAAAAGGGGGGACGTGCGCGCAAAGTCCTGACCAGCCTGACAGATGCATGTTAGAAGTAAGTGTTTCATCTGGTAAAACATTTCGATGCATTTGCCTCGTTGAAGTCTGCGCCCGGGAAGCTGCACTTGCACAGTATCCGGACCACTTCTGGATAATCGGGAGTGCTGGAGGGGGACTTCCAGCAGTAATTTACACTATTTTTAGGCACTGATGCGTTCATTTTGCGAACAAACAATACAGCCTACATATGAGTGTGAGCGATCCTGCTCGGTGGGATGTACTGAAGAGAATTGACACACCCCTACAGGACTGTCAGTGCCGGGAAATAGCTTTGGCGACATCCCCTTGACTTTCCAGTGAACTAAGTCAGAGTGCACAGGAGCTTGCATGGGACAGGCTGTTCAAGGACCTGGCTCCTGTCAGTGAAGGGGGTGACAGTCGGATTATAATCAGCGAGAAAGAGAAAGAGGAAAAAAATGTTCATTATGTGTATTCATTTATTCATGTATTCAGTTTAAAATTATAATTAAATTAAGTGAATACATTTGGAGAGAAGTTCCAGTGCAGTTTGTTTCTCTTGAAGATTATTATTAAATAAATGATGTGTGCTGCAGTGAGACAGAGTAATGAAAAAGGCCTGTAGTTCATAAAAATGACACTTCTAGTTCAAGAAAACACATTGACTGTCAGTATGACTCTCTGCACTTTTTTCCCCCCCACATGTCTTAAGGAGACAGACTAAACGAGAGATCAAATACATATTTTCGTATTTCACGCAGTGAAATTATCAACACCACATCTGTAGTCCACCCTGCATCTCCAGCAGTGGAGAGGAGCAGCTACAACTCTCGCACGCACAGGCAGCACCCGGCAGCAGCACGTGTTTTTACGCACAAGCCTTTCCACACAATGTGGCGCTTGACTTGTTCTGAAAAAAATAAAAAATAGTGCAGCTCTTCTTGTGATGTGAAAGAATGCTCGAGGTGAGTTTTAAACAAACTCGCCTAAATTGTGACTAACTACCTGTGCCACACATTCACTTAAAAGTTCTCCAAATGTGATGTTTTGGGGTTTTTTTCCCACTTTGCGAAATAAATCATCGCCATTTGCTGCGTTATAATTAAAGAGTTCGCACCACAAAATAAGAGCGCAACCTACCCATTACGCATGAATATTTTAAAAGAGTGGCATTAAAGTTTTATTGCGGAGAATTTTCATCCCAAGTTGAGCTCTGTAGAAAATATATTCTAGCGTTTACTGTGAGATTAAGGATGTAATGAACTCATTACATTAACTTCTTTCTCTTTTTTTTTTCTATTTGTCCCCATTTCGCCCCAGGACAATCAGAAGAGCTCGGCCAGTCGAAAATGTCCAATGGATATACCTGAAGACGCAACAACTTCTCCTCCGTCCTCCCCAACCAGCTCCACAGTTTCCCTGCAGGACATCTGAGACATGGATCCGCGTTAACATCTCCCACCCAACTCCCTGCACCACTATGGTTAAAGTGTATGCCGAGATTCATCTCTGTAACATTATCTGCCTCTCCACCCACCGACCATCTTCCTCAGGAAACCAGCCGTCAAAACAACTAAGTGTCCCTCGCTCGGTTCTCTGGGGGGCGTCAATATTTGTCCTTCGACACTGAGCGAAAGTGGTGTTCTCCTTTTATTTAAGGGGGGGAGGAATTTATGAACCTGGAGGCGAGTTGTGTCTATTTCCCCCGCACCTCTCCATTCACAGCACAGCAGCATGGCGGCAGGGATGTCCACTATTTCTTTATGATCACCGCTCCATGCGCTTCACCTCTCCTCTGAGCTCCGTGGCCCCCTCACCCCGTGCCGGACCCCGCTCCAAACACCCCCCCAGCCTGCCATGCTCCTCCAGGCCGTGTTGCTGCTGCTGCTGCGCTGCTTGGCCTCCACCTTGGGCCAGTACGAACTGTGCAAGTCCCTGGTGAGCACGGACGAGGGCTCAGTGTGGGAGCATTACGCGTGCCAGCCAAAAGCCGCGTCCATGAAAGACCACATGCGGATCAGGGTGGATCCGCCCGGAATTACGTGTGGAAATCCGCCTGAGAGGTTCTGCACTCTGGTGAGTTCACGTCGGGACTTTGCATTGCATCTTTTATACTTCTATTATTAACTTTTAAATCGGAAGCAATATTCATGGCATTTTTGAACGCGTAAAGAGCGCAGCGTACAAAAACAAGCACTCCACACTTAGAGACAGCTTCATTAAATTATAGTTACATGTGTAAAAAGTTCAAAACTATTCTACAAGAAATCATTAAGATCACAGAGTTATGCATTTAAGCTGGAGTGACAACTTAAAAAGTAATGACAGGCATTTCTGCAGAAGGTCAGAGCAGCATTCACACTTTAGGGATCTGTAAAGGGATGACATAAGTGCAATGACTTGGCATGGGTCGACCTGGCTCAGAGACATCAGAAGGTGTTGTTTACATTATGGACTTGGCAGCCCAGTATCCGGTTTGATTTAGGCTTGCAGAGGACCTCACATTTCCTCCGGTAAAATGCATATAGCAGGACCTTTTTAGATCCAAGGACACTAAAGGGTGAGCTGCAGGAAAACTCGTTAAAATGTCTGCTACAGCAATATTTAACACACTTTAGCCTGCAGGCTAGTCCCGGCTAATGTAGGTGTAATAATTTGAAATAAGGGTTATAAAATCAGAATCATAAGACTGCAATTAAGCTTCCCCCAGCCTCTTCAGTGAAAAGTTTTATGCTTGACTCACGATTTGAGTCACTGTGTGTGCGAGACAAGTTCGTCCTCTTGATGATCGGCCCACTGTCGCCGAGCGTCCACTCGCTGAGGTGGCCCGGAGAGGCTGCCAGACCCGTCTCAGCAGTCATGAGTCAAAAATCTCAAGGAAAAAAAAAAGAAGTGTCTCTGCAGAGTGTTGGCATGTCTGCATCGAATTATAAAATCAAGTCATGCTGTTAATTCAGTGTTTTATACTCTGGCTGACTGGACATTTGTTACCTTAAGACAGACTTTGCAAACAACTCTCCGCCCATGTCTCTCTCCCTTCCTCTCACAAAACTAATAACTAGTATGTGGGGGTCATTTGACAGGAGTAGGAAAGGATATTGTGGTCCTTGGATACCTAATGGTTAATGATTTGTTTAGCAGCGGAAACCACTGTTGTCTTGGGAAAAGCCTTTCCGATGACTTCTCCTGAGAGGGCAGATGGACAGACGCAAGGGAAAAAGGGGGGGAGAAGTGAAGAGAGAGATGCTCGCTGCCATAACGTATTGACGTCTGCCCCCTAATGGCCCCAGCCTGGAAACTTCTATAACTATGTTTCTGAGTGAGCAATGATGAAATATTGATGGGCTCCTTAATGGGCTTCCTTACAAGGGTTGGCCAGCGTCGCTCCATCGCAAGGATCCAGAGTGTGCAGCTCGGCTGATGAGACAGAAAGAAAGAGAGGGATGGATGGAGGGCGGGACAGGAAGGAGTCTGGTCTTAGTCAGCACTTTCCCATCGGACGGGGTCTTTATAGTGGAAAGTTCTGGTTCTTCTCAGGTCATCAGTGGCTGCGGGGATTTAACCAGGCCCCCTGGTGCACTAGCTGGGGATTTAGACGGTGAAGAAGCTGTGAGATGAAAGTTTACTTAAGAAGTGAGGGATGTCAGAGTCGAATTCCGACATAATGAGAAAGCAGAGTAGGTTTAGTTCTGCACCAGGGTAATTATTTGACAAGTTTGTAGGGTATTTTCTGACATGTAACAATCCATAGTTTGCAGTTATCCAATAGGGAATCTTTACATGTTAGCTTAAGAATCACTGAACATCTGCATATCATTGCCTCGTAACAGAGGATTAATCCTTCAGTACACACTTCAGTAGGGAATCAAGGCCATTACATCGCTTCCATTTCTTTCCTTTCGACACACCAAATGGGTATTGGTTGAGGGATATTGGTATACAGATCATTTATTTTCAGGCAAGCAGCATTTTTTCCCCTCTTCCTCTTGCCCCCGGATTTGGCAGCTTTACAGAAAAGCCAGTTTCTTATCTAATTGGTGTACATTTACATTCACTCATTCAGCAGTCCCACAAGTCAAGAGAAAGTCAGGGCACTTGGATAAGAAAAAAAAAAAAAAAGACTGCATCACCCAATGCGCAGAGCTGCTCATCCTTAATAAGACTTGAGACATACTGCGGAAGATGCAAAATAATTTTTTTTCCCCCTTTCTCTCACCCTATGAGTGCTACAGTGCGTTCCTAAAAACTACGGGAGAATTCACTTTTGGGGGTTTTGATGTTGAGGCATACTGTAGCTTCCCCTCTGCTCACATCGGTGTACAGTAGTTTTTTGCTCCCTCCATCTCCACAGGGATGCATTTTTTCTACTCTATTTATCTCTCTTGTTCCCTGGGAATGCAGCATCCTTTCTCCTCAGCCAAACAGGCCAGCATGTTGGCTTCTTTCGACATGACGGGCTTCCAGCACTTTGACAAAGATGCTACTGTCACTAGCGCTGTGTTAGGAGCTTCAGTAGTTTCTTTGTAGTTTGCCTGTATGACAGCTACTATAGAGTTGTAGCTTGCCGTAGAAGGTGACGGAGGAAGGAGGTTCGAGGCAGTGCGTTGCGGAGGGGGGGATAGCTAATGATGAGGGAGAGGTGAGGAAGATCCAAGCTTAGCTAAGCAGAAAGATGAAATCAGACCACAGTTCCACGGTAGTACACACATTGTCGATATAAAAAATGCTGCATTCAAAAAGGTCTCGCTGCGCCGTTGTTTGTTATTTTGTTTTTTGGTTTTGAACCGAAACCTTCAATCAACCGTCTCCCTCGGGGCCGAGAACAGAGAACAGCCTAACGCAAATGGGAGGCGTGCGTGTGCACTGGAATGTACAGTGTGCGGTGACGTTAACAGGGACCAGCAGGGGTGTGTGAAACATGTGCACGAGTTGGCCAACAGTGCACGGTAGTATATCTAAGAAAATAGACAACAACAACAACAAAAAAAAAAAACAACACACCTTCCTGTTCCACAACACATTTGCCCGTTTTAGAAGGTAGAAATCTGCCAGCTCTAAAAATAGACATGAGAAGAGAGAGAAGCCGCGCAGCAGCGGAAGGGGAGCATGCAGGAAGGGGAGGAAGATGGCAGCTGGTAGCGTGGATCAGTGCATCCCAGACTGGGCCTATGGCCATACTTCATACTGCCTGCCCAGTGTAGCCCTGCCAGACCCGGCCGGCCTGCCCTGCCCAGCAGTAGGCCATCAAGGCCACGCAAAAGGGCCACCCACATCCAGCAGTGGGCCATACTTGATGCACCTCCCTGGGGTACAAGATAACCCAGGTGGCCAGTGTCCTAATAATACACCCTTGGAGGTGAATTTGGGCACAGCGTGAGCAGGTTTGACAGTGCGGGGCATAATTAACGAAGGGAACAGAGAGAAGGGAACAGACAGCTAAAGAGAGCGACGGAGAGAGTGACTGTACAAACAAGGGATGTGGGGGAGGGTACAGTGATGTAATGGCATGGCTTGCTTCCCCATTAGGACACAGTTGAAAGTGATCAGAGAGTGTTTAGATGTGTTGGCAGAACGGGAGGATAGTTATAAGTGAGATTTATCCCTGACTGAGGTGATACTAAGAGGGATTGGCCGCAGGGGCTTAGACAGCCTGAGGTGAACTTAACAAACCACCTTGTCTCACCAGTCAGGATCTCAGGACTAATGGCTGTTTGGAGACGAGCGTATAGAAACCATACAGCGGGCGTTTGTGGGTCTGAAGGTGTGCGAGAGATCAAGTGGCCGCCTGGGTGATAATTCAAATAGAAGTTTATCAAACTGCTTGTCTTTGGCTCGTATACGTATTGTTCTGATCTGAGTTTTATGAATTTAACTACTTTTTTCTACATCTATTTTAAAAATAAGCCCAAACCAACTATTTGCACGAACTAGATGATGCAGTTTTATGAATTTATGTTGTTAAAATTTGGAAATACAGACAAGGGCAACTACAAAATGTAAACGTACTACACAAATAAACATAAAGTATTGTTCAAGTGTTTTGAAAGTTGGAGGAGATTCATGTTGTTTGCCCTGATTAAAAAGTTTTCTCATCAGTTCAAATTTGTAAAATTTTAGCATGTAGTTGTGATTAAAAAGATTTCAGTAAGAACAAATTTATGTCAGTTTTACAAAACTTTCAAATCAACAAAGACATCTGAAATACTTTCCTGAGTTTACTTTAGGTGTTGAAAGTATGTGAAAACCCAGACTGACCAATACCAGAATCTCTCATCAACATCTCTGCAACACAGCTCCTCATTTAAAACAAAAACAAAGAAGTGTGTTATATCTAACTACACAATTTATCAGAGCCAGAAACTGTCAAAACAGGAATTCATAAGGTCCCTGAAATAATCCTCTGTGATGTACTGTTCCATTGGGAAACTTAGCTAAGCTTAAAATCCTAGCATTTCCTTAAACTTTTTTCTACATCCCATTTAAAAAATAAGCCAAAAATCAACTATTTGCACTAACTAGATTCTGCAAAAAAAAAACAACAAAGAATTCTGTTCTCCAGGAAGCAGTCAAACAACTATGGGTGATTCAGCTATGATCAAAACCCACATGAAAAAAAATAGATTTTTCAGCCAAATTGTGATTGTATTTACACAGAACAGATAGTAGTACGGAAACAGATTAGAAAATTTAAGTTGTAAAATATCAAAAGTTTGGAGTGGTAATGTTTTTTTCCAGTATTGGTAACACGTGGCCGGAAAACGTTGATTCAATAGTCATTGTTGTCTTTTTGAATTTGTGTAAAATAAATAATGAAAGAAATTCAAGTTTTCTGAGTTTCTGGCATTTTAACTGTGCCATACTGCATAAAGGACATTTTGAAATTCTCTCCATTAGCCATGGATGTGCTCATCGATGTTCCAATGGAGGTGTGAAACTTAGTATTACAGTGAAAAATGTGTATTACTGTGAGGAAACATGTGACCCAACCACAGAAAACAGCCTGGTGTTCAGAGGGTTAAAGGATTTTACACATACAGTAGAAGTCTGTTTACAGGTCTTGTGTAAAAAAAAAAAAA